GCTCTTGCAGAGGACCCAGGTTCAATCCCCAGCACCCACATGGTGGCTAACAACTGTCCTTAACTCAGTTTCAGGGAATCTGACACCCTTTTCTAACTTCTGCGGGCATTGCACAACATGGGTACACTTACCTACATGCAGGCAATACACAATAAAATAAAAATAAATAAATAAATAAATAAAATTTTTAAGTTTAAAAAATAAATAAAATTTGAAACTAAGGGCAGGAGTTAGATCTATCTAGCTCCCTCTGGTTTATCTTCCTTGTTGAGATCAACATCTGACAAATAAGATGTACCCAATAACTGGTAATAAGGACCCTTCCCCAACCTGTATGTTCGGTAAGGTGGCCTGGGGCTGCCATTTTATTTTACATCAGGTGAATGATGGGAATGGCTTCTTTCCTTCCACAGTCCAGAAGCATTGTAAGCACATTGGGACCCAGGTACTGAAAGGAACCAAAAAGTGGCCATACCAAGCCCTGGGGAATAAGCTATCCTTTATCACCTTCATGGTTGTATTACTCTGGGGGTGACTTATAAGGCAGGTAGGGCTCCCCTTGCTACCTCCTCACACAAGGCAAATAGTTAAAGGCTCCCAAAGACTCACCCATCCCTGGGCCGGCAAACAATGATTTAGCTCCAGGGCAACTGTCATGCCCCTGCTCTAAGGAGGTACACAAACAAACTGTGCCTCTGGGGAGCAGGGCAGGCCTCTCCCCTCACCCTCCAAAAAGCACAGGGCACTCAGTCCCTCCCCCTTCACCCTCCACCAAGATGTGATGGAAAGTCCTCCCCCTATGAAGTATGAAACACTCCACAGCTCACCCACTCCACCTGGCCTTGAACCTTTCTATGGCACTGTGGTTCAGCCTCCTCCAGCTCTGCTGTGTGTATCTCAAGACAGGCAGCTCATCACCCCTCAAATCTGGTGAGAGCTTCCTGTGTCAGGCATGATGAACCAGACAACACTTTCCCATCAGTTCATTGGTAGAGCACCTGCCTAGAATCCCCCAGTGAGGGGCTGAGC